GAGCGAAGACTTGGTCGCTCGAGCGACCAGACACACGAAAACCTCGCTCGAGCGAAGAAAAGCTCGCTCGAGCCAAGAATGCAATGCTTCAGGTCTGCAACCCTAGAGCACGCTCGAGCGACAGAATGCTCGCTCGAGCAAGGAACTCGAAAACATACACCTCTCTCGCTCGAGCGAAGGAAATCTCGCTCAAGCGAATAAGCACTGCCCTCAGGTCTAGATCAGACGCAGTCGCTCGCTCGAGCGAAGCAAATCTGGATCGAGCCAGAAGACATAGAAAAACAACCCTCGCTCAAGCGACCAAACCCTGGCTCGAGCGACCAACCCAAAAACTGGACAGCAACACTTGGTTTACGAACCCAACCAACCTGAAACAAACCTGCCCAACACATCCTATAACTCCAAATGAGAAAATAAAGGACGACAACAACAAATATACAATGACAGAATAAACGGAACCCAAGTCTGGATACAATGATCAAATGGGAAAAGACTGGGGTCGCTATACGATATCTAAGTATATGTAATTATTCGTTCTATAAGGACATTGATGCCCGATATGTTAACATGTGAGAGGCCACTCAACAAACTTACTGATAAACCTACACATTGGCCCACCAAAATTTAAAATATATACATGCAATGATGGAATTTCTCACGTCACTTTTACCTAATTAGTTTGAATTTTCTAAATTCAATTTTTTAGAAATTGAGTTTTTTTATTTTTCATATATATTTTTTAAAATTTTTAGTGAATATTTTTGAAATTTTAAGTAGTTTTTTCTTTTTTTAACCTTTTTAGATGCACCTTACTTAGATATATTTAAAAAGTAAAATATTTATAAAAAATCAATAAGTATATAAGAATACAAAAATATACTGAATTTTCTTTTTTATATATATATTTTTGGTATTTAGTGAATTTTTTAAAGATTTTTTTTCACAAATATTATAATTTTTAAGCGAATTTTTGTTAGGTGTATCTAAAAATTAAAAAAAAATTACTTAAAATATTAAAAAAAATTAGTAAAAACAAAAAAAAAACATACAAAAAACAAAAGATTTTAATTTTTTTGAAAAGTGAATCCTGAAAAGTAAACCAAACAAGCAGTTTTGGAAAATTCTAATATACACCATTTTAAAAAGGGTGTACCATATGCATCCCCAGTTATGTCATTTTCTTCTTTAGTTATGATCAATTTTCTTCTTTGATTATGATATATTTATTAATTAACACATGAGTTATTTAGTTATGCCTTATATTATAGTTATGACAATTTTTTTTATAAGTACGATTCAAAAAATTGAAATTATATATATTTTTTAGTGTTTCCCTTTAATTATAAAATGTGTTATGTGCCATCAAATTTTATTCAAACTTCTAGTATGCTTTTATACATATTTAAAAAATTAAAAAAAAAAATCTAAAACGTCCAAATTTAGACCATCAATGTAACGCTCTCAAAATAATACATAAAACCCAACATTCTCAACATGCATTGATATAAGAGGATAAAACATCCTTCTATTCATCAGAGTAATTAAATACCAAAAATATTACATGTTGACGACCAAAAGTAAATGCCCTATGGGCTTACAACTTTCCAAGCCAACACTTGGTCACAAATGAGAGTACTAACTCAAATACACTTTAAGCCCTTGGCTTGAGTTTATATGTAATATCCAAATAATAAAATAACCAAAAAGAGTCTTCAACTTCAAAACCTTCCAAGCTATGTCATTGGAGGTAGCATATCACCTGAACCTGAAAATGATGTCCCATATAGGGTGAGCCACTGCCCTGTAGAGATATACTAAACCAAATATAAGCAATGACTAAAACAATAGCATTTGATAGATGGTTAACACTTAAAAACCAATTTACAACATCATCCAATTCCATGACATGAAGTCCATGTTTCTTTTCATAATTCTTTACTTTTCCAAAATCATTCCATAGAAATGGCTTAGAAACTGGCCAAACTGTTAAGTGAGACCACATCTCACATTAAAACATTTCTTTGATTTACAATTCAAACGAGTCCATGACTTACAATTTAAATACTTCCATATTTCAAATAATACACATATTCGCTGTATTAACACTTCCATTTAATACACATGTTTGCTGTATTAACACTTCAATCTAATACACATATTTGCTGTATCATTGGAGTCCATCCCCTGTCTCCTCCCAAATAACATCCGGTTTAGGAGTCTATCCCCTATCTCCTCCTAAACCGTGGAGTACATCCCCTATCTCCTCCCATACAACACAATGCATATAAACGTTTATCATATACATGTTCAATCAATACACAATTTTGATGTATTATTCCAACCATGATACACGATGTGATTAGTTTCAGTTTTCCCTAATCAACATACAATGTTTACAACAATCAAGACTATCCTCCACCGATAGCACAAAGCAGTTATTTCTAAACAGATAATAAATGCATCAGACAGATATAATCTCAACATTTCCGTAGGTGAGTGATAAATTAATTCAACTACACCATTCAATCCCATAATTTCCCAATATCATAGATTTCTACTCAATTCCATGTTTTTCCTAAATTAATTATACCAATTAATTTATCACAATAATTTGGGCATTTCCCCCTTTTATCAAAAATCAACCCTAAGGTTCAATTTCCTCATTTTGACACTAATAAATGCCATTTTTCATGTCTTACATACACATGAAATTTAATACATGAAAAACTCCCTTTTATCAAATTACAAATCAAGCCCTAACTTTTTCCCAAAATTACCCAACACCACCAACTACTCAAAATGCATAAAACTTATGTCAAAACTCATAAGATGGAGTAGGTTATCCCTACCTCGAAATGAAGAGCTCAAATGGAGAACATGACCAAGACCCAAAGTGCTCCAAATCCACAAATTTTCAGATTAAAATGTAGCCCACACAACCCTCTATCTTTCTTACAAAGAACTTAGGGTGGGAACACACTAAAAAGAGATGAAACCCTAGAGAGAAGGTAAGTGTAGAGAGAGAGAGGATGGTTCTAGGGTTTTGAAAACAAAAGAAATGAAAAAGTGAAGTGTAATCCCGCTGCTGTCTACTGATATAACACAAGCTCACTCGATCGAAGGATTGGTCGCTCGAGCGACCAGACACAAAAAACTCTCGCTCGAGCATAGAAAGCCTCGCTCAAGCCAACAATCGAAGCTTCAGGTCTGCAACCCAGAAGCACACTCGAGCGCACGAATGCTCGCTCGAGCGAAGAAATCCAAAACATAGACCTCGCTCGCTCGAGCGAAGAATTGTAGCCCTCAGGTCCAAAACTAGACGCAGACGTAGGCTCGAGCGCAATACGTCTCGCTCGAGCCACTAGACACAAAACTCAACTCTCGCTCGAACGAAGGAATCCTGGCTCGAGCGAAGGATCTAATACACAGAGCTCGCTCGAGCGACAAAAGTCTCGCTCGAGCGAAGGATCAAAATTCTGGGCAGCAACCATTTGCTCCCAATCACACCCAACCTGTAACAATCCTGCCAAAACCTCCTATAACTCAAATATAAAGTATTGAAGGACGAAAAACAAGATATAAACAATACCAACTCCACAGAACCTAAGTCCAGAATACAATAATCAATGGAGGAAAAATCGAGATCGCTATAATCAACCCATTAGCCTAGGCCAAGCTTGCTGGATAGGACCTGTGCTTACATTTTAGACCCAAGGCCAAAGCAACTAAGTGGAGGGAAAAAAAATGAAAAAAAAAATTTAAAATTAAAAATAATAACAAAAAAGACGAATAATTGAGGGTACAACTCAGCAATTGTGGTGCTCACTGTACCATATACTCCACACCTCAAACTGTCATGCGGTTAACTGAAACCTGATCTCTCTGTTTTTTCTCTCTCTCTCTCTCTCTCTCTCTAACCCCAGTTCTTACTCAGCCTATCCATATATACTTGTACTTCTAGCTTTACAAACCCCATTCAGAGCGAGCTACTTCAATAGATATATATATATCTCTGATCAAGAACCCGATTCACCTACCACATTTTTTACTTTGTTTTGGTAAGTACCATTCAACCTCTCATTTTAGTCCAACCCCCATGCTCTATTTCGTATTCATTCTATTACAATTTAAACTGCTTAGTTTCTTTATAGTCCCAATAATGACTTTCTTGAATGTGATTTACTTTATCTGGCTGAAGAATTGGTGCTTTCGAAGCTGCTTTGAGGATGGATCCAGACCCAGATAACCTAGATGCTCTGTTTCGTATTCATTTTCATAAAATTTTAACTGTTTAGTTCTTCATTGTACAAATAATTAGTTTCTTGAATTTGATTTACTTGTTCTGGCTGAAGATTTGGTACTTTGGAAGCTGTTTGAAGGATGGATCCAGACCTAGAGGACCCAGCTGCTCTGTTTCGTATTCATTCTTCTTAGAATTTAAACTGTTTAGTTCTTCATATAGTCCTAATAATAATACCTTTCTTGAATTTGATTTACTTGCTCCTCTGGCTGAAGAGTTGGTGCTTTCGATACTGCTTTGTGGATGTATCAAGACCCAGAAGACATTTTCTACCTCTGCCGCCAATGCAGAACCCACCTTGCATTGACTGAAGAGTTCGTTCCAAGGTATGATCTCTCTCTCTGGCGTTTGTTGTGCTTTGGTTGCTTTCAATTATGCATCAATTTCTGTACTGTGCATGTTAATAATAACAGAACCATCATAATTCCAATCAAAGGTTGCAGGATTTGCATGTTAAAATTATTCCAATTTTGAGGATTTATTATTGATTCTGAATTTTTTTTGAGGTTTAGGGTTCTTGATATTCTTGTATTGAAGAACAATCTGCGTGTGTGTGTGTGTTTGAACCAAGATAATTTCTTAAAGTGCCCATCGTCATCTGATCATGTATTCATGTCTTCTTTAAATGGAGTGAATTAGCTAATTCATGAAACTTTTGTTTTTAATCTGCTTTGCAGGACATAGTGATGGAGGCGGCTATCTTAGAAAATGTGTAAGATCTCATCTTTAATGCAATATTTTGAAACTTCGTATTAAAGATTAGTTATGAAATCTTATTAAAGAATAGCGCTAGAGATAAATTCTGATCTCTATTGTAATAATCAGCATAACAAAAAAATGCAATTTGGACTAGTCTTGATCATTTTCTTGCTAATCTGCATTGAAATTGCTTTGGTGGCAACTTTAATCCTGTGGGGTTTGCAGTAAGAATGTGGATGTAGCTGGCCCAGAACGTTATCGAATGGAGCGTGCTAACACAGTCGCTGATGTTAACTATACCGGCTGCAGGAGCCTTTTGGGTTGGAAATTTGTAAGAATCACACAGTTTCTACTTCTTTTGAGAGATTCTATATATATATATATATATATATTCTTGCATTTGAATAAAAATTTTCTAACAAAATGGTTATCCATGGTTTAGGTTGAAGTGCCAGAGGAAAACGATGTAGTTATGACTGGAAGATTCCTATTGTATTTGTAAGTTTTGAAACAAATAAATAAATACCACTATACTTCAACATTTTTGCTACATGCACAGAAAAGTAGAGTCATGCACCAATTCTATGCATTGTTATTATCATTATTATTATTATTATTATTATTTTGGTATTTCAATTTTGATTTTTTCTTATGGATTTGATACAAAATCTGCAAGTAGGAACAAACTCCTGAAGTGGGATGGAAAGACCATACGATATGCAGATACACTGATGGCTACATTCAGTCAAACTCCAGACGTCCATTTCTACCTCTGCCGTCAATGCAGTACCCATCTTGTCTTGACCAAAAATTTTATGCATAACTTCACAGTAAAATCTCTCTCTCTCTCTCTCTCTATATATATATATATGTGATTGTTAAGAATAACAGAACCATCATAATGTCATCTAAATTCGCAAGATTTTCCATGTCATTGTAGCTAGAGTTGTTCAAATCAATTCTTTTTATGATGTTAAAAATGTTGTAGTACAAGGCTTATCTGATTATGGAATTATCAAAAGTTCTTGTTTGTTACTACTGCATTGCAGAACAATTGTACGCTCATATACTGATTATATTTTTTGGAGACCAAGATGGGTCTGTGTGCATTTTGAACCAATAATAAATAATTTCTCAAAGATTTGTAGAGGAAAAAGTCAAGGGAAGTGATTTCCTTATGCAAATCCCTTCACAAATTCCAGATACAAACACAATCTAAAGCATCACAAAGATGGGTCAGTGTGTGAGTTTTGAACCAATAATATATCTAATCTGCACTCATATTTGCTTGAATTAGATTGCAAGAAAAATATGTATACATCTGTACATATAAACATATATATTGATTTTAGCATATGGCGATTTCATATAAACATATTTACCTTTTTTGTAAAAAAAAATTTAAAAGAAGAAATATAGCGACCCCGGTCTTCTCCCATTTGATTATTGTATCCGGACTTAGGTTCCGTAGATTCTGTCATTGTATAATTGTTGTTGTTGTCCCTTATTTTCTCATTTGGACTTATAGAATGTGTTGGGCAGGTTTGTTTCAGGTTGGTTGGGTTTAGAAACCAAGTGTTGTTGTCCAGAATTTTGGATCTTCGCTCGAACGAGCTGTTATTTTTGGTTCTTCGCTCGAGCCGGGGTTTGGTAGCTCGAGCGAGAGGTTGTGTCTGATTTTGGACCTGTAGCTGTGCATTCTTGGCTTGAGCGAGATTTTCTTCGCTTGAGCGAGTTAGTTCATTCTTCGCTCGAGCGATAGTTTCTTCGCTCGAGCGTGTGTCTGGTTACAGACCTGAGGGTTTGAGTTCTTCGCTCAATCGAGTTTTATTTCGCTCGAGCGAGCTTTTGGGTTGTTGGCTCGAGCAAGGCTTCCTTGGCTCGAGCGTAGCTTTTCTGTGTCTGGTCGCTCGAGCGACCAAGTCTTTGCTCGAGCGAGCCTGCCCAGTTTATACACACAGCAGCGGGTTTTGATCAGTCTTTTTCATCTTCTTTTGATTCCAAACCCTAAGTCCGACTTCTCTCTCTTCCTACTCACCTTCTTTCTTAGATTTGATCTATTTAGAGGGTGTTTCTACCCTAGTTGCTTTATTAAAAATATAGTTGCTTTATTAAAAATATAGAGGGAGTCGAGGACTTTCATTTAATATGAACATTTGGCGATTTGGAGCACATTAGTATTTGGGCACTCATCTCTGTCTTCACCAATTGGGCTGTTTTCTCTGAGGTAGGGATTTTATAACACAGCAGAAACAGTGATTTCAAACAGGTGCCATTTTCTCCACAAAATGTATTTTTCTGCAAGACCACTTGGGATAGTTAGCTATATGAGTTATTTTTCATTTTCCACTAAATTACTAAAAAAGGATAAGTATTAGAGGAGAAATTACTGTTTTACGAAAGCGCAACAGATTCTGTTTGATTTTCTTAGAAAAATTATTTGTTCATCTTACGGGGGTTTTCAGCCTTCAAGTTATTCTATAACAGTATTCTTAACTTAAATATATAACAAAATATTCTGACCTCACCTCTTTTTGACATCGTTTGATGCCTCTTTCCATTTTTCAAACCAAGACTACCTGTGCTGGAACTTGTTGAAATTCAATGTTTGAAATACCAGTTCTATTCCAAAATTAAATTCTCAATCGTAAAATTGTTTTTAGCCATGGAGTTCTCTCGGAATATTTTCCTAATGTAATGAACTAACACCGGTTAAAATATTGTGATCATTGAGCTTCGTTTGCTGTGGGTTTCATAATTTTTATACAAGTGGTTCAACGCTGATGATCTTAATTGTGAAAAATCTAAGTAGTAATGTGATGACTCGTGGTATTTATTTTGGCTGACATAAATGGTTATTTTATGCTATATAAACATATGTCATTGTGATTTCTCAATAAAGCTCATTCATAGATCATAATATGAATTTGACTAAGTAAAGTAGACATGAATTTGAACCCGGGTGTTTTATGTACTAATGTGACGGCCATGAAATTGGGTTGTGAATGGAAATTTTGATAACATGTTTAAAAGCAGTGCATTAAAAGTTAAAGGTGATGAGTTGTGTTGGGTGAGCCCGGTTTAGAGTCTTGCACAATGTGTTTCGAACCCCTAACATGGCACGGGAAAATATTTTGGCTCTTATCGGTATTGGGATATAAGGCTTGGTGTGTAGGTGACACTTCAAGGTAGGGTGCATCTCATTCTTTTGTATCTGCTGCATTTGCATCTGTTTTGGAATTGGAGTTAGCACAGTTAGCATCTCCTATTTGTGTGGTATCGCCTTTGGGTGGTGAGTTGATTCTGAATATCATTTTCAGGTGCAGGAAGCATGCCACCTCCAAGGACATAGCTTGGGAGGCTAGCGGCGGACATAGTGTAGTTGTTTTACTTTTGATGTATTACATGTAACTTCAAGCCAAGGGCTTAATGTGTAAACGAGTTAGTACTCTTTTGTTGAAACCAAGTGTTAACTTGGAAAGCTGTAAGCCCGTAGGGCATTTTGTTTTGATGTTAACATGTAATACTTATGTAATGAAACTCAATGAAATAAAGGAATGTGGTTAGTTTAATGTTATTATTTCGAGGGCGTTACAGGTGGTGGTGATGGTGATATCATTGATGGTAGCGGTTGCATTGTGGTGTTAGCAGTAACGGTAGCAGTTGCGATGGTTGTGACAGTAAAATAATGATGGTGTTTATGGTAACAATAACATTCATTACAAAAAAAATTAGAAACCAAAATTTAGGGGCAAAATTATTTTTTTGAGACCAAATATTTTTATTGCGAAAAGTGTCGTTATTATATTTTTAACAATAAAAATTGGACATTAATGATGAATTATTATCCTTTTGAAACCCAATTTTTTTTATCAAAAAATAAATTATTTTGAGACCAAATTATTCTGTCCTTAAAAGTTTATTTATTAGTAGCATTTTTAAAATTTTGTCGCTAAAAGCCTTGGTTTTGACTTTTTCGAGATAATCTTTTAGCGATTATCCTCACGACGATAAAAATTAATTTCTAAATGTCTAGTGCAACAAAGATTTCACTTTTAGAGAACAAAAAAAATAATTTTTAAAACTCTTACATGCTGTAGTGATTGGTGATAGTGATGGTAATAGTAATGATGATCGTGATAGTAGTGGTGGCAGTGGCGATAGTGGTGGTTATAGTAATAGTGGTGAGTTTATAATAATATATATCGATACTTATATTTACTATTTAAAAATTCAATCAGAATTAAGTAAGATTTCATATCATTTAAAATTTTCATAAATTTAAGAGGCATATATTTAGTTTTAAGTAGTATCAAACACCCCCCCTAATATAAGAATTAAAATGTAAAGTATTTTATAGTGAAAAGATATGTTTCGAAGCTGTTTGGAGGATGGATCGAGACTCAGATGACCAATCCCGCCTAGAACAGCAATTCTACCTCTGCCGCCAATGCGGGGCCGAACTTGCATACATCGACGACTTAGTTTCCAGGGTATGATCTCTCTCTCTCTCTCTCTCTCTCTCTCTCTCTCTTCTTTATTTGTTGTGCTTTGGTTGGTTCGAATTATGCATCAATATCTGTATCGTGCGTGTTAATAATAATAAAACCATCATTTTTCCAATATAAACTTGCAAGATTTGCATGTTTTTCTTGTTAAAATTGTTCCAATTTTGAGGGTTTAATTTTGTTATTGATGTTATCAAGAAATGTTTTGTATAATGCTTGTTGATTATGGTATTAGGAGCAATGGGTGGTGGTTTCTTCGAGGCTAGGGTTCTCGATATTCTTGCATTGAAGAACAATCTGTGTGTGTGTTTTGAACCAATATAATTTCTCAAAGTGGCCATGATCAACTGATCATGTATTCATGTAACTTTTGTTTTCAATCTGCTTTGCAGGACATAGTGATGATCGAGGGGGGCATCTTCAAAGATGTGTAAGATCTCATCTTTCATGCAATTTTTTCTTTTAGACTTCTTATTACAGATTAGTTATGAATTCTTATTAAAGATTAGTGCTGGACATAAATTCTGATCTCTTTTGTAATACAGTCCATGCACCAATTCTGCGCACTATGTTATTTTTGTTTTTTTCTTTGGTTTTTTTTTTTTTTTGGTGTACTTCAATTTTGATTTTTTTTTCTTATGGATTTGATTCAAAATCTGCGATTAGGAACAAGTTCCTGATATGGGATGAAAGCAACATGCTGTTCGCAGATACACTGACGGTTACATTCCATTGAACTCCAAATGCCCTTTTTCTCCTCTGTCGTCGATGCAATACCCACCTTTGCCTTGGCTGATCATTTTATGCGTCTCATCCTAGTAAGATTCTCTGTCTCTCTCTGTCTTGTTGAGGATCGGGGGCACACCAGGGAACTCAAACAAGCAATAACACACAAGTTTTAACGTGGTTCGGCAAGTCGCCTACGTCCACGGGCAGCGGATTCACTATATTGAACAAAATGGTGAATTAACCATTACGGTTGCAAGAAGTTTTTGGGTTTTAAATTTGTAAGAAACAAAAAGTTTCTACCAATTTTGAGATTCTCCATATCTATTCCTACATTGACTAAAAATCTTCTAACAAAATTATACTATTATATGGTTAGATTGAAGTGCCAGAGGAAACCGATGTGGTTAAGACTGGAAGATTCCTACTGCATATGTAAGTTTTGAAATAAATAAATACTACTATAGTTCAACAGTTTTGCTAGGTGCAAAGAAAAGTACAGTCCATGCACCAATTCTGCGCACTATGTTATTTTTGTTTTTTTCTTTGGTTTTTTTTTTTTTTTTGGTATACTTCAATTTTGATTTTTTTCTTATGGATTTGATTCAAAATCTGCGATTAGGAACAAGTTCCTGATATGGGATGGAAGCAACATGCTGTTCGCAGATACACTGACGGTTACATTCCATCGAACTCCAAATGCCCTTTTTCTCCTCTGCCGTCGATGCAATACCCACCTTTGCCTTGGCTGATCATTTTATGCGTCTCATCCTAGTAAGATTCTCTGTCTCTCTCTGCTTGTTAATAATAACAGAAGCCATCTAAACTTGCAAGATTTGAATGTCTCTGTTGTTAGAGTTGTTCAAAATTTGAGGGTTCAATTTTTTTTATGATATTATTCAAGAAATGTTGTAGTACAAGGCTTATTTAATTCTGGAATTTTTCGGGGGTCACTGTTCTTGATATTATATCTAAGGGTTGTGTTTGGAGGTAGGATTTGTGGAAGGATTTATAGAGGGAAAAGGAAAGGGAACTGATTTCCCTTTGCAAATTGCTTCACAAATTCAAGATTCAGACACGACTTAAGCATGACAATCATGGTTCAGTGTGTGCATTTTGAACCAAGAAAAATAAGTATATTTGTTACAGTGGAATGCATTGGTTGAACTAATGTAAGATTATGGTGGCTGCATTCCTTTTTACCAAATAGTTACTGTTTGTTATTATCTACTTGGGTTTGTTTGTTTTTTAAAAAGCAAGTCTGTGTTCTTGTTGCTGTTTTCAATTTGCTTTTCAGGACAATAGGGGCATCTTTGAAAAAGTTTTAGTTATCATTATTAATACAAATTTATGGAGCTTCTTTGGTGGGCAGAGATCATTATGAATTCTGATTAACGATTAGTAAACAACACAACAAATGCAATTTGGACTTCTATTACTAAGAATTTTAAAATTCAATGACCAATATGATCATCTTCTTGCTAATCTGTATTGCATTTTCTTTGGTGGCAACTTTAATTCCTGTGTTTTGAAGTGTCGACGTGGATGTCTCCAAAGTACATTATCGAATGGAGCGTACTAACATGGTTACTGATGTCTACCATTACGGTTGCAAGAAGTTTTTGGGTTTTAAATTTGTAAGAAACAAAAAGTTTCTACCAATTTTGAGATTCTCCATATCTATTCCTACATTGACTAAAAATCTTCTAACAAAATTATACTATTATATGTTTAGGTTTTAGTGCCAGTGGAAACCAAGGTAGTAGAGACCGGAAGATTCCTACTGTATTTGTAAGTTTTGAAACAAATAAATACCACTAATTCTGTTCACATAGTTTTTATTTATTTATTTATATATATATACTTAAATTGAGTTTCTAATCGATTTGATTCAAAATCTGTGAATAGGGAAAAGCTACGGAGGTGGGATGGAAACAATTTGGTGTATGGACATACAATTGAACTTGTTGAAAATGCTTGAATAGACAGACCGTAAAGAAGACATTCACAATGACAACTAATGAAGAATTCATATATACATATGATATCAAATTCATCCATTTTTTTGTTACTCTTGAAATTCTGATTTAGTGTTTTCTCTAGTTCATGCGACACTCTATACGGAGCAAGAGGCATGAAGCTAGTAGTTGTTTTTAGACTAAAGGGATTGTTTGGTGTAAGATTTTTTTTCCACTGTTTAGGATAAGTGCTTTTTATGTGTGTACTACTATTATTACAATAGAAAGCTAATTTTAGACAATGTTTGAAGAATAGCTTTATCTACACATATTTTGCAATTAGCTTTACTTTCTATTATTTGTTCTTTTCTTCTTTTTTTTCTTCTTTTTCCTATGCGATTCAAAATAAGGATTTTGAACATGTGAGTTTGGATAGAGAGAAATTAGGGGAATGTAAGTGAGAAAATTGCAAACTAAAAGATTAGAACTTCGTAAATTGTCTGTTAAATTGCACGACATGAATAATAGAAATGGAGAAGGCTAAAAGAAATTTGACAACCCTTTTAGGCATATGCATAGCTTCAAATGAAGTACTGCTCTTAAAGTTCACATAGAATGAAACATGTGGAGGACACCTTCCAAATAAAGAGTCCCAAAGAAATTTTATACTGTTAAATTGTGCTTTTTACGCATTTAAGATTTTTATTATATTTTTCAGAAGAATCACATACTGAATTGAGTTTAATAAAATTAGTTCAAAAGTTTTAGAAAAAGCATTTATTCAACTAAAAAGTGAAGATCTAAAATATAAATAAGAAAATGAGGCAACATATGAGCAAACATGCATGGGTGTAAAACTGAGTTTGCCTTGTTGCCATAGGCATTAATTCTGGAGGTTTCGGTATTGCTTTTTTTTTCTTCTTTTTTTTCTTTTTCTTTTTTGGGTATGGGGATTTTGGTATTGCTTTTCTAGTTGTTTCGCGGGGTTTCATCGTTACAGTTGATGCTTCTTTTTGTTGAGATTCAACACTTGGGGTGACTAAAGTTTTTTGCTTGTAACATATCTTTACTTCACTTCTATTGTTTATTTACCTTATTTATTTGCATATCCCAAGTTGTTAAGACTTTATTTGGATCTTAGATTCTTGGAAGGGTAAAAAACAAGTGAATGAAATAGAAGCAAAATCTCTTCTTTTTATTTTTCCTTTTTTATTTATTTTTTGAATTTTCTCTTTCTTTTTCTTTCCTCACAAATTTGGGATCCAAACAAGCATGCCCATGACCAAACAAATTTTTTTTTTGGAGGAGGACCGTCCATCTCTACTAATTCAGTGTCATTTGCAACTTCAATTTTTTGTGTGCTAATTGCTTAGAAGATCTGTTTCGATTCGATTCGATTCATTTAAAACTTTGCAACTTTAACTATGCTGTTTGTTTTTTTTTTTGTTTTTTTTTTTTGCGAAGACTATCCAAAATTTTTCAATTTATATATGGTGTGTGTTTTTTTTTTTTTTTTTTTTTTTTGCGAAGACTATCCAAATATTTTAATCATTCATTTTATAAAGACATTGAAACCCAGCAGGTCAGCTTGTGAAAAGCCACTCAACAAACTCACTTATAAACTTACACGTTAGCCCACCAAAATATAAAAATAGTTGTGATGGAATGGAATCCCTCACCTCACTCTTTATGACAAAATATTATTTTTCAATTGTAAAATGTGCTATGTGCCAATTTGTAAATTTTCTTCAATTTTATACATATTTAAAAAAAATAAAAAAATAAAAAAACTGAAATGTTTCAAATTTAGACCATCAGCCCATCGGCCTGGGCCAAGCTTGCTGGACAGGACCTGGGTTTACATTTTAGGCCCAAGGCCAGCCCACGTACAGACTTAAAACAAGAAGGTAGAGGGTAAAAAACATAGAAAAGAAAAGAATGAAGGGGGTTCTGAGGGTACAGCTCAGCAATTGTGGTGCGCACTGTACCATATACTCCACTAGAAACTGTCATTTTGGCAGTTAACTAAACCCTGCTCTCTCTCTCTCTCTCTCTCTCTCTCTCTCTTTCTCTCTCTCTCTCTCTCACTTCAGAGTTCTTACTGAGTCTATCTATATATACTTGTGGCTTTACAAATTCAGAGCTATTTAAATTCCTCACTCTCTCTCTCTCTCTCTCAAGAACCTGACTCACTGCCCACATTGATTCCTCTGTTTTGGTAAGTATAAATTCAACTTCTCAATGTATGCCAACCCCAAGCTCTGTCACATATTCATTCTAGTACAATTTGAACTGTTTAGTTCTTCATATAGTCCCAATAATAACTTTCTTGATTTTGATTTATCTGCACCTCTGGCTGAAGAAGAGTTGGTGCTTTCGAAGCTGTTTTGAGGATGGATCAAGAAGAAGACCCAGATGACCCATGCTACCTCTGCCGCCAATGTGGGTACGACATTACAGACACCGACCAGTTAGTTTCCAAGGTATGATCTCTCTCTCTCTCTCTCTCTCTCTCTCTCTCTCTTCTTTGTTTGTTGTGCTTTGGTGCTTAGAATTATGCATCAATTTCTGTACTGCACGTGTTAATAATAACAGAACCATCATAATTCCAATCTAAAGTTGCAAGATTTGCATGTCTTTGTAGTTAAAATTGTTCCAATTTTGAGGGTTTAATTCTTTTTATGATGTTATCAAGAAATGTTTAGTATGAGGCTTGTTGATTATGGTATTACGAGCAATGAGGGTGTTTCTTGATAATCTTGATATTGATTCTGAATTTTTTGAAGGTTAGGGTTCTTGCATTGAAGTACAATCTGTGTGTGCATTTCGAAACAATATAATTTCTCAGAACTTTCCCATCATTCATGTAACTTTTGTTTTCAATCTGCTTTGCAGGATATAGTGGTGGAGGCGGGCATCTTCAAAGATGAGCAAGATCTCATCGTTAATGCAATTTTTATTTTTTTTAAAACTTCTCATTAAAGATTAGTTTTGAATTCTTATTAAAGATTAGTGATAGACATAAATTCTGATCTCTGTTGTAATCATCACAACAAATGCAATTTGGACTAATCTTGATCATCTTTTTGCTAATCTGCATTGCATTTGATTTGGTGGAAACTTTAATACTGTGTTTTGCAGTGACTATAAGGATGATGGTGACCCAGCAGCATATAATTGAATGAAGGGAACAATCTGTAGTGATATTATCTGTGGTGAGTGCAACAGCCTTTTAGGTTGGAGATTTGTAAGAATCACAAACTTTATACCATTTTTTTTTTTTTTGAGATTGTATATTTATGTTTTCTTGCATATTAACTAAAAATCTTCTAACAAAATTATACTATTATATGTTTAGATTAAAGTGCCAGAGGAAACCGATGTACTTAAGACTGGAAGAGTACTAGCGCATTTGTAAGTTTTGAAACAAACAAATACCGCTATAGTTCAACAGTTTTGCTAGATGCACTTTGTTTCTTTGTTTTTTTTATTTGTTTATTTATTTAACTATTTGTATACTTCAATTTTGAGTTTTTTTTTTTCTTTTCTTATGGATTTGATTCAAAATCTGCGATTAGAAACAAGCTCCTGATGTGGGATGGAAGGGAGATGCTGTATCCAAATACACTAATGGTTACATTCAATCAAACAACAGCTGCCCATTTCTTCCTCTGCCGTCAATGCAGTACCGCCCTTGTCTTGGTTAAAGATTTAATGCATCTCATCCCAGTAAGATTCTCTCTCTCCCTCTCTCTGCTTGTTAATAATAACGGAAGTCATCTAAACTTGCAAGATTTGAATGTCTTTGTTGTTAAGATGTTCATATTTTAAGGGTTCAATTCTTTTTATGATGTTATTCAAGAAATGCGATAGTACAGGGCGTTATTTGATTATGAAATTATCAAAAGTTCTTGTTTGTTATACACCTGCATTGAAGAACAATTGTAGACTCATATACTGATTCTGAACTTTTGGAGACCAAGATGGGTTTGTGTGTCTTGAATCAATAATATATAATTTTTCAAAGATCATCTAAATCTAATCTTGTATTTATATGAGCAAAAGTTCTTATGAGCAAATGTTCTTACGGTTTTTGATATTATATCTAAGCGTTGTGTCTGGAGTCAGGATTTGTGGGAGGATTTATAGAAGGAAAAGAAAAGGGAAATGATTTCCCTCTGTAAAACATTCACAAATTCAAGATCCAAATACAACCTAAAGAATGATGAACATGATTCAGTGTGCGCGTTTTGAACTAAGAAAAATCTGTATATCTGTACATAGAAACATGGTTCGGTGTGCCTGTTAAGAATATGGTGATTCATGTTACAGTGGAATGCGTTGGTTGAACAAATGTCATATTACAATGGCTTTAATCCATTTTACCAAACAGCTACTATTTGTTATTATATCTACTTGGGATTTTTTATTATTATTATTATTATTATTATTGTTATTTATTTTTTAGAGCAAGTCAGTGTTCTTATTGCTGCTTTCATTCTGCTTTTTAGGACATAATGATCAACGCAGGCATCTTTCGAGATGTGTAAGTTATCATCATTAATACAATTCTATGAAACTTCTTTGGTGGGCAGAGATTGCTCTGAATTCTGATTAATGATTAGTGACCAGCACAACAAATGCAATTTGGACTTTTGTTACTAAGAATTTTAAAGTTCAATGACCGATCTGATCATCTTCTTGCTAATCTGTGTTGCATTTTCTTTGGTGGCAACTTTAATCCCTTGTTTTGCAGTGTCAACGTGGATGTTGCTGGCGAAGCACATTATCGAGCAAGACATAAATTCTGATCTCTGTTGTAATCATCACAACAAATGCAATTTGGACTAATCTTGATCATCTTTTTGCTAATCTGCATTGCATTTGATTTGGTGGAAACTTTAATACTGTGTTTTGGAGTGACTATAAGGATGATGGTGACCCAGCAGCATATAATCGAATGGAGGGTACAATCTGTAGTGATATTATCTGTAGTGAGTGCAATAGCCTTTTGGGTTGGAGATTTGTAAGAATCAAAAACTTTATACCATTTTTTTTTTTGAGATTGTATATTTATGTTTTCTTGCATATTAACTAAAAATCTTCTAACAAAATTATACTATTATATGTTTAGATTAAAGTGCCAGAGGAAACCGATGTACTTAAGACTGGAAGAGTACTAGCGCATTTATAAGTTTTGAAACAAACAAATACAGCTATAGTTCAACAGTTTTGCTAGATGCACTTTGTTTCTTTGTTTTTTTTATTTGTTTATTTATTTAACTATTTGTATACTTCAATTTTGAGTTTTTTTTTTTTTCTTTTCTTATGGATTTGATTCAAAATCTGCGATTAGAAACAAGCTCCTGATGTGGGATGGAAGGGAGATGCTGTATCCAAATGCACTAATGGTTACATTCAATCAAACAACAGCTGCCCATTTCTTCCTCTGCCGTCAATGCAGTACCGCCCTTGTCTTGGTTAAAGATTTAATGCATCTCATCCCAGTAAGATTCTCTCTCTCTCTCTCTCTCTCTGCTTGTTAATAATAACAAAAGTCATCTAAACTTGCAAGATTTGAATGTCTTTGTTGTTAAGATGTTCATATTTTAAGGGTTCAATTCTTTTTATGATGTTATTCAAGAAATGTGGTAGTACAGGGCGTTATTTGATTATGAAATTATCAAAAGTTCTTGTTTGTTATACACCTGCATTGAAGAACAATTGTAGACTCATATACTGATTCTGAACTTTTGGAGACCAAGATGGGTTTGTGTGTCTTGAATCAATAATATATAATTTTTCAAAGATCATCTAAATCTAATCTTGTATTTATATGAGCAAAAGTTCTTATGAGCAAATGTTCTTACGGTTTTTGATATTATATCTAAGCGTTGTCTCTGGAGTCAGGATTTGTGGGAGGATTTATAGAAAGAAAAGAAAAGGGAAATGATTTCCCTCTGCAAAACATTCACAAATTCAAGATCCAAATACAACCTAAAGAATGATGAACATGATTCAGTGTGCGCGTTTTGAACCAAAAAAAATCTATATATCTGTACATAGAAACATGGTTCGGTGTGCCTGTTAAGAATATGGTGATTCATGTTACAGTGGAATGCATTGGTTGAACAAATGTCAGACTACAATGGCTGCAATCCATTTTACCAAACAGTTACTATTTGTTATTATATCTACTTGGGATTTATTATTATTATTATTATTATTATTATTATTATTGTTATTTATTTTTTAGAGCAAGTCTGTGTTCTTATTGCTGTTTTCATTCTGCTTTTTAGGACATAATGATCAACGCAGGCATCTTTCAAAATGTGTAAGTTATCATCATTAATACAATTCTATGGAACTTCTTTGGTGGGCAGAGATTGCTCTGAATTCTGATTAATGATTAGTGACCAGCACAACAAATGCAATTTGGATTTTTATTACTAAGAATTTTAAAGTTCAATGACTGATCTGATCTTCTTCTTGCTAATCTGGGTTGCATTTTCTTTGGTGGCAACTTTAATCCTGTGTTTTGCAGTGTCAATGTGGATGTTGCTGGCGAAGCACATTATCGAGCAGAGGATGCTAACGTGGCTACTGATGTTAACTATAAAGGTTGCAGGAAGCTTTTGGGTTGGAAATTTGTAAGAAACAAGTTTCTACCAATTTTGAGATTCTCTATATATCTATTCTTACATTGACTAAAAATCTTCCAACAAAACTATACCATTATATGTCTAGGTTTTTATGCCAGTGCAAACCAAGGAAGTTCAGACCAGAAGATTCCTACTGCATTTGTAAGTTTTGAAACAAATAAATACCGCTAACTCTGTTCACATAATTTTTATTTTTATTTTTATATATATATACACTTCAATTGTGTTTCTTATCGATTTGATTCAAAATCTGTGAATAGGGAAAAGCTGCTGAGGTGGGATATAAATGATGAACTTGTTGAAAATGCTTGAATAGATAGTGGATAAGACATTCGCAATGACAACTTATGGAGGACTCATATATACATATAGTATCAAATTCATCCATTTTTTTTGTTACTCTTAGAATTCTGATTTGGTGTTTTCTCTAGTGCACGCGATACTCTATATGGAGCAAGGGGCATAAAGTTAATAGTTAATAGTTGTTTTTGGATAAGCGCTTTTTATGCGTGTACTATAATTTTTGTTACAATTGAAAGTTGATTTTAAACCATGTTTGAAGTAGCTTATCTGCATATATTTTGCAATTGGCTTTACTTTCAATAATTTGTTCTGTTTTCTTTCTATGCAATTCAATGTAAGGATTTTGGACATGTGTGTTGGATAGAGAAATTAGGGGAATCAGTGAAAAAGTTGCAGACTAAAAGATTAAAATTTCATAAATTGTCTGTTAAATTGCATGACATTAATATTGGAAATGGAAATGGCTACAAGAAATTTGACAACCCTTTAAGGCATGTATATAGCTTCAAATGATGTACTGCTCTTGAAGTTTATATAGTATGAAACATTTGTAGAACAGGTTCCAAATAAAGAGTCCCAAATAAATTTTATACTATTGAATTGTGTTTTTTATGCATTTAAGGTTCTTCTTAGATTTTTCAAAGAATCACATATTGAATTGAGCTTAATAAAACCAATTCAAAAGTTCTAGAAAAAGGCATTGTTCAACTTGAAAGTAAAAAATCTAAAATATAAATAAGAAAATGAGGCAACACATGATCAAACTTGCCTGGGGGTAGACTAAGTTTGCCTTGTTGCCATAGGCATTGGCTCTGGGGGTTTTGGGTACTGTTGTTTCTTCTTCTTCTTCTTTTTAAATTTTTTTCTTTTTTGGTGGGTCTAGGAATTTTGGTATTGCTTTTTTAGATGTTTCCTAGGGTTTCGTCATTGCAGTCTTTTTTTTTTTTTTATCAAGTTTCGTCATTGCAGTTGATGCTGCTTTTTGTTGGGATTTGGCACTTGGGATGGCTATGTTCTTTGCTTAGCTTGCTTTTGTTCTTTTTTCCAGACCTTATTTGCACAGCCCAAGATCCTAAGAATCTATTTGGACCTTAGATTTTTGTAAGGGTAAAAATTTTTTTATTTTTTTTTTTAAAAAAAAAGAGAGAGAGAAAAGTGAATAAGTAGAAGCAATCCGTTTGGTTTAGTTTTTGAAAAGAGTTTTGAAAATTTAAAATTCATTTAATAATGAATTTTAAAAATAATTTTGAAATGATTTGTAATTTTTTTTTTTGTAGCTGAATAGATGGGAGTGGGAGAGAAAATTTGCTAACCAAAAATGTTTTTGATTTTTTAATCCAAATGTTAATTTAAAAACTAAACCAAAGGTTGCCCAAATCTCTTCTTATTTTTGCTTTTGGAAATTTTCCTTCCTCTCTCTTTCATCAGAAATTTGGGATCCAAAGAAGCATGCCCATGACCAAAAATTGAGGTGGGGGAGGAGGAAAAATATCCATCTATTGTTGCTCGATCATCATTCACAATCAGAATAATTTTTTGTGTGCCTAGAAGATTTGGTCCAATTTGACTCCTTTAGAACCTTGTAACTTCAACTGTATTGTGATTTTTTTTAGTAAAGATAATATCCAAGTATATATAATTATTCATTTCATAAAGACATTAAAACTCGACAAGTTAACTTGTGAAAAGCCACTCAATAAATTTGCCCATAAACCTATACATTAGCCCACCAAAATTGGAAAAATATATATACACAATGATGGAATCTCTCACCTCACTTTTTATGACAAAATATTATTTCTCAATTATAAAATATGTTATGTGTCAATCTGTGAATTTTATAGTAGATTTTTATAGATATTTTAAATAAAAAAATTTAAAACATTCAAATTTAGAAAAAGTTATTTGGTGGGTGCAAAGCCAAGTGTTGCTCTGAGATTCTTGTAATTGGTGAAAAGAGTAAGGATTATAATTGTGTGTTGGGTAAGAGAAAACAGTAGGTGATGGCATTTTGTGATTAGTGATTGGTCGGAGTATTGTTAACCATCTAATAATTTTTCTAACAATGTTACAGACTCTAAAAAAAAACAACTCCACTTACCTATGATTGGTCCAGAAAGAAAAAAAAATTTAAAAAACAAAACATATATGATCGGTCCACTTGATTTTGAGGGTTATGGGGTCCCCAATTTCGGGTTCCAAGCATTTTTTTTTAAATTTTTCTAAATTAGGGCCGTGGTCTGCCTGGGCCAAGCTCGCTGACATGGGCTTACATTTTAGGCCCAAGGCGAGCCCACTGACGGATTTAAAGAAATAAGTGGAGCTGCAATTGTGGTGCACACTGTACCATATACTCCACACCTCAAACTGTCATTTTGGCGGTTAACTGAACCCTACTCTCTCTCTCTCTCTAACCTCAGTTCTTACTCAGCCTATCTATCTATATATACTTCTGGCTTTACAAATCCCGTTGAGAGCTACTTAAATTCCTCAGTTCTTACTCAGCCTATCTATCAATTCAACTTCTCATTTTGGTCCAACCCATGCTCTGTTTCGTGTTCATTCTAAAATTCA